GCTAATGATGTAATCTGAGAACCCTAGAATGATTAATTTGTGTGAATTTGAAAATCATCTTCGTACCCATTTCCTTGATCCTCTTGACCCAGTCTCGGCCTTTTTCGATTTTTTTCTTTTTTCGATATATCTAATCACTTCTGAGGGCATGTTAACAGGAATGTTGTTTGTATGTGTTCTTGAAAGGAATCGTGTATCGAGTACGTTTAATTATATCTGTTTGAGAGTGGAATATGTTGAGTGCAAAATTGAGATGTGTAGTGATCTGCTAGAGACAGCTTTCTCAATTTTGGTGCAGGCGATTCTGTTTAAGAGAGACAATATTTGTGTTGCGTGTTTTACACTTAGAAGCAGTGTTCCAGAAAGAACTATCATTCGCTAAAAGGGATTCTAAACTTCTGGTCCAGCTCAGTTATGATTGTTTTTTGATAAGAGTCCCGACCTCGTGATTAAGTCTATTCACGATTCTATTGTCCTGCGAAGAAAGTGATTTTTTGCCAAATTTTCCTAGCATGGTTTCCTTTTTTATATACATTCTGCTAAGGTACGATTTTTGTATCTTTTTCTGCTGCAACTTCTTTGCTGAGTTCAGAATGCATTCATTCGTAATTTCATCTAACTTATTTCTCGTATGTGTGTTCGGTGTACAAGGCTATAGAGCTTTGACATATCCTGCTCAGTTAGTTTTTTGTCCAATGGCAGGCACTTGTCTATAATGGCATTGGCCACTCCTAAAACCAGCAGTGGTGGCCATTTTATTGTGGAGGCTCCAAATACGCGGCCACCGTTACCTCCTATGAAGGGACAGACAATTTTACATCCATGCCTTCTGCGGGATTTGAACCAGTGCCCTTCGGTATCGCAATCAGGCTCCTCTAACCACTATACCATCTGGGCGGCTCTACCCAATTAGTAATAAGGGCTCTTCTGTATCGTGTACTGTAGCTGTTAATGCTGATTACTGCCATAACCGGATTATGATTCGAAGAAAGTTCACTCTCAATAAAGTCGGAGCATTAATATTTTGAAAAAGAAAGAAATCAATAATGGCGGGCTTGCGGACATTACAGTGTGTTGGTTTATCTGGAACTGCAATTAAAATATTGGCGGATGGGCAGGTTTGTATATTGTTCTACCACAGTTATTAATAGAACTGCAGTTTCAAACGCGGTGGTGTGCATTAAAATTTCCACCTAGAATAACTCGATGCTAGTATGGAGTAGTGGGTGTAAATAAATATTCTTAACACGATACTGTGTTTACTTCTCAATCTTTTTGCAACTTCATGAACCTGCATAGTAATATGCCAACATTTTGGCTTACTTATCATATACCTTGCAAGAGCTGTACCCCAACTGAGTTGAATACAAAAGTTGAGCACTTACATATAAACGTATCGTGAGTTAATAACAACACCGCTAAGACAAAATAAGAGATCTAATTTCTGCTTCTCTTTTGAATTGCTTATTGCTACGCTAGTGAACAATTACATTGTTGGTTCAAGCCTCCGACGATTTTATTCCCCCCTCCCGGTACAACGCTAATTCATTCTTAGGGGTTAGGATTGAATGTCAAAATATTTACGTCCTGGAGTAACTGGAAACTAAGTTATCTACTCATGCCAGTCTTAAGCACAGCATAATGGAATAAACTACTCCAGAATTTTTGTTTAAACATATAATATAAACTGAAATGATATATACCATTACAGTTCAAAACAGTGCTCCTAACTGAATATAAAATTAACCATTACGATGGTATTAGAATGTGACTGGAGATAGTCAGTCTTAATTTCCGTAGCTCAGCACATGTAAGATCAACATCGATATGACGAAATGCTTAATAACAGATAATTCTTTTCATTATTGAAAAATATGAATGCTTAAATTAAATTTTTACTATAGTTGAAAAGTGAAGTACGATGGCAGTGTATCTTTTAGAATTTTAAACCCACAGGACTTGCGGACATGAACCATATCGAAGAGAACATAACTTTATTGCATACACATTTCTAAAATCTATTATTACTTCTAATAGCATACAGCAAACTTAAAAAAATAAATGTGCTTATCACATTATATTAGATCTAAGAACGAAGCTTCAGATATCCCAGAACAAATATACTAATAAATATGTTTAGTTTGGTACTAAAGACTTTAAGCCAGATATCCTTACGAACTGTAAATTACTACTGTCGCTCTACACTGAAGAAACAAACTATTATGACCACCTACTCAAAAACGCGTTGCGCGACCTCTGGCCTGCAAAACAGTTGCAGCTCGCCTTGGCATGGATGCCAGAAGTTCTTGGTAGATGACTGGAGACAGTGTCTACAAGCAGCGCTTAAGCAAAGTCGAGATATTCCGACATGGTGGTGGTGCCTGCCGCTCCATAACATCTCCTGTCGGATTAAGAACCGACGAGTTAGGCAGTTAGGACATTAATTGGAATTCATCCTTATGCTCCTTGAACCACTCCAACACCTGCCTTGTGACATGGGGCGTTGTCTTGCTGAAAGATTCCATTCCCAGTTGGGAAGACAGACGCTATGTAAGGTTGCAAATGATCCGCAATTATATTCAGATAGGCCGCAGATTTCATGGTCTGTTCTACTACAACTAAGGGTCCCAGAGCCGCCCACGAGAACGTCCTCAAAGCATAATATGCCCCACCCACTGCTGTAAGAGAAGGATAGCTGTTAGCTAGAAGACGGCGTGCCCTGACACGATCATCGACGTGATGAATGAGAAATCGTAATTCATCCAACCAGGCAACAGTCTTCCACTTATCCATGGTCCAGTCTCGATGTTCCCAGGTTCACTGTAAGCGTAGCTAACAATGACGCTTGGCCAACAAGAGGCACACGAAAGGGACGTCTGCTGCGCAGTCTCATATTCAACAGCGTCCGCGGAACTGTGTGTTCTGAAACGCTTGCTCTTGGATCTGCACCGCAATGGGCTGTCAACTGAGTCACTGTTTGTACCAAGCGGGACAGTCTCTAAGGTCCTTTTCATATGACACATGGACGTCCAACACCTTGGTGTTTACTGCTGGTTTCACCGTCATTTACCCACTTTGCATAAATACTAACAACGGCAGATCATGAACGACGTACCGGTCATGCAGTTTCGGAGATACTCGTTCCCAATCTTCGGGCCATTACAGTCTGCCATCTATCAAATTCGCTTAGATCAGCAACCTTTCCCATCACTTACAAAAGGGCAAGAATGAATCGTTACCTTCTCCAACAGCAGTTAAATACCATTCCCACCTAATCACTGGTGTATGGTGTATTTAATTATGGCAAAGCACACTAGGGCTATCTGCCTAAGGGGAGGGATGCCTTCGTGGAGGACTTTCTAAGGGAAACTGGCTCGTATACACGTAACGCATGGGGAAAACCTCGAAAACGCCCATGCAGCCAGCCCGTTCGCGGGATTCGAACCTCGGACCGAACTACCAGTGTTCAGCGACTTTACCGCTCGGCCGCTGGTGGGCCCACTTAATCACTGAAAAATATGAGGTGGTTATAATGTTTTGGCTCGTCAACAAGTTGTAAAGGTTGGTTCCGAAAAGTAAATTGGTTTGCATTATCCTTTTAATTCAGATTACTTTAGCATAATTATGTTACGAAAGCATTTATCAGAGATTGAGAAAATAGGACACCATGTTACTGGAGAAGTGAATAGGAAGCTAAGAAATGTTTCACAAAAGTTTAACAGCCCTATTCATATCACATGTTTTACATTTCATAGTGCCTCAAATCTCATGGTTCACTTCATCTAACTCCTCTCACAATCGACTGAATAACTTTTGATTTTTGGCAACAGATACTAGATCTTTTGGCTATGATTGTATGATTGTAAAAAAACATTACTCAAAGGCATACGATTGTGTATGAGCTTTCTTATTCATTACTTCCATAAATGTTTGTAACGAGCAATATGTTCTGCATAGCACAGAATATCCTCAAGATGTCTGATTCTGGAGTTTAAAAATGTATTTGAAACTGCAAATTGATAAAGCATGCATATACCTTATTGGTATTATGATGATTAAATTATCATTTAATATACTGAAGAGCAAAAGGCAATAAATAAAAAGAAATATTAGACTTAATAGAAAGTTTACTAAGTACAGCATCGAAAATTTGCTTTGTACATAAAATGCCATATAAGCAAAACACTTCTTAAAAATTTACATAAAAGTCATAAAAACATAGAAAACAACACCAATATGAAAATGGATCACAACACAAATTTACATCTCTCATATATATGACATTTTAGGAAGACAAAACTTCCCAGCACATAATTATTATGTATTAAACACAAAATTTTTAAAATATTGAAAGTACTTTTATTTTCAAAGATGGAGAATGGACATGCAGTGCAGTAATATACAATAAAAAGATGCCTACAGTACTTTTTGACTTTGTGGTAACAAAAGAATAAATGTATAGAAATTAAAATTTTACATAATTGTGTTAGTTTGGGAAAATACAACATGTAATAAAAATATAACGTAGCATTAAAAATTTCTGGCAGCAAAATAAAAGAAACTTGAAAGCCATAAAGCATAAAGATTAACATAATTAAACTTTAGCAATTATAATAAACATTTTCCCTTTCAATTGATATTCTTGGTCTAAGCTTCAAAGCAGTGATTTAAATTTTTCTCTCTTATATTACGAGTTGTTCATTTTTCTTTAATTTGTATTAATGATAACATTCTTATAAGAAAGACTAAAGAAAGTGTTTTCCTTATTTTTGAATTAGATAACAAATACATGATGACAATTCGCTCCATCAATTATAATAACAAATCCCCTCATCTAAAGCTGCCGATTTCATTCACCATTCGACTTCCTTTCAGCATAATGGATTTAAAAGAAATTTTATGGTGTTAAGCTCTTAAACCTGAATATAAAAGTGCTTAAAAAGTATTAATTTTATAAACTATATAAATAGCAATTTTGTCTATCCGACATAATATATTTCACTAAAAGAGCTTTACCCATGTTTTTTTTTTTTTTTTTTTTTTTTTTTTTAATTATTTCTTACTGCTTGATTGTCTTTCTGATGTTTTGTATTTCTTTAAGAGACCTGTACTATTTAATAAACCTCAGTTAGTTGTCACAATATAATTTCTTCAGACATATTTTTTCATCAAATGTAAGTTATTTACATTACAAAAGCTATAGAATTTCAAATAAGAGTCAATTATTATTTCATTAGCAACTATCAGCTTGTGACAGACAAGAAAAGATTTATGTATGCCAAATGCAATTCTTGAGATGCATGCCACTATCCAATTTTGTCATTTGAAACAGACTGTTACTACAGTTTTAAATTACAAATGGCAAAACATCAGCCATCTTGTCTTTATTCCATACACAGTTTTTTATTTCTTTTTAACAAAATTTACTTACCCTGACGGATTATTTCCACTATTTTGATTTTTAGAGATAATTTAATACATTTTCTAAGTAGACAGGCAGTTTAAAGAGTTTTTAAATAATATGAAGCAACAAATTACAAAACAGTACATAACCTACATTATCATTAAATAAGGTGCAAGTCATATGATAGACTTAAAATACTGAAATTTGTTCTAACGATATTTCATGAAATCGTATATAAATAAGCATGGATCACAATACTTTCTTTTATTATTATTATTATTAGATGCTTCAGAAAAATCTGATCACTAATATAATGTTCTAAAAAAAGATGTTTTACTCTTTCTCCTTCAAAAGGAAAATCAACAATTAAACAAGTAATAAAAATAACACACTACCTTGCATATATACATTCAATAATTAAATTTTATAATTGTATAAAAAAGAAAAGATACAAACACTAAATGTAAGGGAATTATAATTTAAAATTGAAATAATTCCTGTAAAGAAAATTAGCATATGGAAACTAAAGTAATTTTTAAGCTTTTAGTTAAAAAAAAAAAAAAAAACAGCAAACTCTATTTTTGTAATAAATGTGACAATTAACTATTAAATGATTTATTATGGAATGCTAATTGCTCAAAATGCGAAGCAAAATTATGTCACATTCTGCATCCTTGGAATTGGCTTTAGGAAGTCAATTTGGAATTTATATGCCTACTGGTAAAGTTATTAAAATGTTTTACTTCTGCTGTGATTTTTGAGAGACTAAATTATCAAGGCTAGGATTATATAACAATGGAGAAATTCAAAGCAGAATTCTAGTAGAAAGAGTATTTGCTACGATTGATACAGTAAACAGAGTTTCAAAATTTAGAAAAATGTTCCAACTTTGAAATACAGGTATTAAAATTAGGTTATTTTAAAAAGATTTAAATTCAACACTCAGATATTTTTATACTCAGATATCTAATGCTGAAAATTTTCTGAAACAGAAGAGGCATTAACGCATTGGGAAAATCGATTAAACTCTTGATTACTAAAGCGCTTTATTCTATTTCCTTATACGGCCGGATAAAAACTATACTGTCATATACAGTTTCATAAAAACAAAAAAGATTACATAAATTATGAAAATATTAAATTAAATAACATTTTTATGATTTCATAAATGCAAATTATTACACACATTGGTATTAATTTAAATAAAAATGAAGACTAGACAAATTAATAGAATGGTCTGTTGAGTAACAAAAACTGTTTTGTCAAAAATAACTTTTCCTATTAAAGTGGGCATATACCTTTTGCATAGTACATTCTAAAAGTAATCAGTTATGTGTAGGAACGGAAAACATTTAGTTTCTATTTAAAGATTATAGTTACTCATTTAAGGACATACTAATAATTTAGAACAATTGATAATGAAGCAGTATAAAATAAAAGTTTATAATAAAATTACAGAATTACAAAAATTAATTAAATCTTAGCTATCCTCATACAAGTTCCTCCATTATATCAATAAATATGGATATTTTCTGAATAGCAGATAAAATTTTTAAGGCTAATTAATACAGTAACATTGCTTAAATTTAAATTCTGTTGCAACTAAGTACAATTAATAGATGCACATATAAAATTCACGCAGTAACTAGTGTTTAAAATACTACAAAATATAAAAAACTAAATAAAAGTCTATTTTCAAAATAAAACTTTTAAAACAATTCAGTGCATTTAATATGATTATTAAAATTATAAGAAGTAGCATTTTTTATGCATGTTAATGGAAAAAATATGCACATTTTTTTACTTCAGTTCATTTGTAACTAACTGATATGAAGAAAGATGAGTCTGTTAACATAAAGAATATTATTTTTCACCTTCTCTTATAAAGTATTTCTCCCGCCTTCTTAGCATGCCTTCGTGGTGTAGTGGTCAGCATGCTCGGTCCATATTCTGGAGGTCCGAGGTTCGAGTCCCAGTGAGGGCATTGCTTATTTTTCATGTCTCTCGCTTCGAAATAACCTAATGTCTCTACAGTAACGTCCAAACTAAAAGGGTAATGGGTGATGATTCTCCACCACCAGGATTTAGCAATTGGATCTCCTAATTCCCCTTTAAAAAGCACAGTATATAAGGTATTTCTTTCGCCTTCTTCAGCACGTACTCGAGAGGTCCATGATTCAAGTTCCAGCGAGGGTATTGCTAATTTTTCACGCCTCTAAGGATAAAAAATCCTAATGTCTCTACACTCTAATGCTACATTCATATAAAGGCTCATTCAATCCCCCCCCCCAAAAAAAAACTGTGACATTGGCTCTACACTTTCAGTTAATATTCAAAATTTACCTTGAAGGTAAATAATTACTTAATTAATAATAATTTAAGGTAATATTCTTTGTTGTTATCAAACTATGATCACCAAACTGGATAATCTTATCGAAATATTATAGTTGTTATCAAACTATGATCACCAAACTGGATAATATTATCGAAATATTATAGAATAGATTTTTTTAACCCAATGTAAAATTGCCAAATAAGGCTAAAATAGAGTATAGAAACTGTCAAATGACAGTTATGTCACTAAGTAAGGAATTAAATCATTAAGCAGTTTTTGATTTATGGCAACAATGTACAAAGAAAGCTGTCTCTTAAGTTTTGGAAAGATTGACTAAACTAACTAGAATTATCATATAATGAAGCAAAATCATAGATGACCTGATTTTTGTATATCAAAATATCTCTTCACTTGTTTTGAGCTTATATATATATGAATATTCTGTTCTAAGAAATGCTCATTATTTTCCTTCTGTTTAGATATTTTTATCACAGAGTTTAGCAAAAGGTATAAAGATCAAAGTTTAAAGGATAAAGTTGACATGTTAAATGGCTACGAAAAACTCTCAGAACTGAGTCAGTGGAATGCTGCTTTTATGTTAAATATTTCTCAAGCCCTCTAAAGAGATATTTTGAAAATTCACAAAGCTATTATTTGAAAATCAAAGCAAAATATAAATGAAAATGCTTAATGGATGAGTAGTGGAAAAAAACACAGTTCACTGAAGTAAAAAGCACTGAAGATTTGCTTTAAAATTGTTCATGAAAAACGATATTGGCAGTCAGCAATCCACTGATGTTGCAGAAAGCTGCGGAATTAGCAGTAAATACTGCGATAGATGATTTCATAGCAACAGATTGCTGGTCTAGCCAATGGAAGAAAAAAGAAAGCATTACTTAAAAATGCAATCATGGTGAATGAAAAAATGCTGATTTACTTGTAGAATCATGGTTGTTAAATGAATGGCTTAAATTTTCTATGAAGTGCTGTCCTGAAACCAGGAAATATACATTACTATCACACATTGTGTCAACATAAATACTTATTTAAGCTGCCCAGATGGTATAGTGGTTAAGGAAGTCAGTCTACTGCGATACCGAAGGGCCTGGGTTTGAATTTTGGAGAAGGTATGGGTGTAATTTGTCTGTCCCTTCATAGGAGGTAACAGTGACTGCCTTTTAGGGGCCTCCATAATAAAATGATCATCATTTCTGGCCTTAGTAGTGGAAAAAGCCTAAAAATGGCTAGTGCCCAGAATTTAAAGAAAAAAAAAAATTATTTAAAGCTGAAAATTCAAAAGAATGTAGAATGGTGAAAGACCATGTGACCATTTCATGTTGTGTTAATATTTAAAAAAAAGAGAGAGAGAGAACTACTGCTAATCAGAAATAAATAAATAAATAAAATAATCTGATGCTTTAAAGGAGTAAAGAGTTGTCATTAGACTATATAATTCAAAGGCATGGGTAAAGTCAGTAATTTTTAATGAATGACTTTTTAAATGAGATTAAAAAATTAAGAACGATATTCTTCTCCTTACTGAGAAGTGTACAGCATTTAACATAAATGTTCCTCTTACACATACTGAAGTTGTATACTCACCAGCAAGTAGCACAGCCATACTTTAGCCCTATGATCAAAGGATTATTACAACAGTGAAAAAACATTATTGCCATGAAATGAGTGTTACTGACCTTTATAATATAGATGATATGTAAAGTGCACATAAATTAGCAAGGAAAACTAACGTTTATTAGAAGAACATGTATTAGAATAATGCCTCACTCAATAAACTGTTTTAAGCATGTTAGTCTTTTAATAAATGATGAAATAGTGGAAGCTAAAGAACAAAAACTAAAAAAAAAAGAGATGATAAAATCGGTGAATTTTCTTAGAGGTAACTAGAAGATGAACTTGAACAATTCATAAATGAAATTTCATGTAACATTTGCAGAAAATAATTTATTATTAATAACTTTTTTATAATTAAATGCTGTAAAAGCAAGTATTTATATGTCTCTAGTTATATTTATATTAAATCAGTAAAATTCTGTTGATATTTTGAAGGCTATTTTTATCATCATTTAATGCTACCCAAAATAGGCTTGGACAACTGTTATCAAATCAAGTGGTACCTACTGTATTAATACAGGAAAAAGAGATTTTTCAAGATGTAGTTCTGTATTTGTCTCTCTAAATGGTTTGGATAATAAGTTTGTAAAAAAGAACTAAATGGCAATGATTTCTATTTTGCCTGGAAATAAAATTTTACTCAGCAAAAACAATAGCATCTGGTATCAAGTATTAAAAAATTAGTCTAACATTTCTTACATGATATATTTTCTAAATGTTAATGTACATCATTAAGAATGAATTCAGAATATTTCAACTGAAATAAAACAAGATTAAAATGAAGTCAGGAAAAAATATTTGTAGATTGTATTCTGTATTTCTGTACACTGTACATAAATTTATAAATAGGCCCATTAAAAGGTTAAATATCAGTGAGCCATAGTTCACAATTTAAAATAAATTATACATTAAAAATACATACAATTTATAAAAAAGGCCCATTGAAAAGTTAAATATCAGTGAGCCATAATTCACAATTTAAAATAAATTATACATTAAAAATACATAAGAAACATGAAACAATACAATCTGAATATATATACTATATGACTCAAATGGTTTGGCTACCATGAGCAATAAAAAACATTTTAAACAAAGGTTTATTGTATTAATTCGATTTAAACATGAAAATCCTTTTCTAAGCACAATTTTATTGCACAATAAAAATAAAAGTTAATTTTTTCTTAAAAATTATACAAACAATAGTCACTGTTTTCATGACATTTCCAAAATATGTTACATAATGGTATACATAAATTTATGTTCTTAATATTCTACATAACACTAAAAATATATAAAATACACATCATACCCATTATTTGTACAAGAGCTATACATTTTTCATTCTAAATTGCACAACATTAAATTATTTTCGAAGATGTTTAACATTCAATATACTTTAGAATTCAACTTTCAAATGAATATGAATCAAAACAGATTTTGATTCTTAACTTTTGCAACACAAAGTTTTGCTCTGAAGTATAATTTACAGCATACTCTTACACATGCACATATATATACATATATATATACTCAAATTTTTCACTTATGGAATAAAAAATTTAGTAAATACCAGATCTCTTTTTTTAAACTGCAAAGTGTTTGAATATGCAAAGATTATATTTAAGTGATTCTAATGAAAATATTTTGCAGGAGAAAATTGTAACGTTTTAACACAGAAGAAAATAAGATAGAGATCTTGAAACAAATAATAAAATGAAACAGATATAAATAAATACTGTAAAAGGGAATTTTTTTTTAACCAGGAATAATCAAAGTGTGCTGTAATGCAATTTTCTTTTAGCTAAACAATAAATCAAATAGCTAAATATCACACTTTCAAAAATCAATTTTGATAAAATATATTCTATTAAAATTAGATATCTGAAACCTCAATAAGAATATTTTGATTTCATTATTATATACTAAAAACTACGTTAATATGAAACAAAAAGGTTAAATATAAATACTAGCAAACTACAAGACAAAACAAAACAAAAACATGACTGCATTACTTAAAAGCATAACCACACATACAGCTAAACATCTTTCCGTAACAATATAATTTTTAAATCCAACATCAGAAATATGTCATTTATCACACTATTTGCTCTTTTAAGCTGAATAATACATACATTATATACAAATTTGTTGTTCCTGTGAACAATTACGTATTCTCAAACATATAAGAGGACTAGTCTTTGAAAATAACTACAAGCACATTTAATTGCAGAAACAGATCTTTATACATATCTATCAGATAAACATAAATAACTTTCAAAATTTTCCTCTAGAAAAAATATGCTTTAATCTTTAGATGTGCTCTTTCTTAGTTTATGGTTTCTTCTCTCACATTAATAATAGCAATAAAGGCACCAATATTGACTTTATTTAAGTCCTAACAAAGAACTGTAGTTTAAGAGGAGGGTTCTGAAATAATAAACAATCATAAATATTATGCAGAAACTCTGCTATTACATCATTATTATCACAATTTAACACATACACACACACTAACTACAACATTCCTCAAAATTCGAGGATTCAAGTTTTAAGAGTAAAATAATCAATATTAATGATTTTTCACATTTTTGTGACACTTTTAATTTAAAGTTAAAATGGGAAGGGAAAAAAAATCCAGGGTTGATATGCTAAAAACCACATTTAAATATTAGTAAATTATGAGCTTTAGCAGAAAACCTATCAGCTTCGTCAGCTGGAAGTTAAATCTGATGAAGCAGATGTGTTGCCTATCAGAAGGAATTGCTTCAAATTTGTACCAAGCATCCTATTCATGTTACAAATGGAGAAAAATCACAAAAATTAACCATGCAGCCATCCTGTTTGCATGAGTTCAAATCTGGGTGAAACTACCAACATCAGTGATCTTAAACACCTGGCCACCGATGGGGGCAGAATTTTTTCTTCATCCTTTTACAACAACCAACACATGCATCAAAGATCTAAGGTATTTCAAACAGTCTAAATATTGATTATATGCTATAAAATATTGATGGAGACAGAAATTTAAAACTATCTTATTTGATTAATCTACTTAGTCTTAAAAGTTTTAGAAGTTTCCTTAAATTCTTATTAGCAAAATCTATTACTGACAAATTTCAGCCTTTTAAAGCTTAGCACTTTTCTCAATAAAAAGAGATGAATTTTATCAGCATATTTTAATAGTATACCATTGTTATATGATACACAACTTTTTCATGTTATTCTTTATTTACTACAGAAATCTATTTTTAGGGTAGTAAAAAGAACTTCTCAATGTTAACAGTGTTACAGATAGTACCTATATAAATATCTAAAGCTATTCTCATACTTTCTTTTAAGATCATTTTCCCAGACCTAAAATATCAGGTTTTTACAATACAGCCATACAATGTAGTTAGAATGCTCTGCTATAGAGTTTTTAAATCAAAAGAATATTACTGGATAATAGTAAGATAAATCATGTCACAGTTCAAAAGACTTTATAGCTGGAGAACAATCTTATTTACTGCATGACAAGTATTCAAAACATAATGACTGTTCTTCTTCCAGATGCTCATTTTAATATTGCTTAGATAAAAAAATTTCTTTGTCCCCCATTTTTTTTAAAGATTTAACACAAAACTATCTTTTAATCTGTATGTAGACAAACAACAAAGACATTATTAATGACAGCTTTCCCTTTCCACTTTTATATATTTTTAAGAACTGAAGACAACTCCAAACACCTGATGTGACACACCTTTCTGTCCTGAAGCTTCACAGTAAAACAGTCTAATGTCCCCAAAAAGCAAAGAATTTTTTTTTTAATAATTGGGATTTTTTTGTTTTAGGCATGAAAGAAATGCTTACTCTAATAAACTAGAACCCACTGCAAATGAGTATCAAGCAAAAGAAAATGTTTAGATTAAGTTGCATGTTAACTGATTTATGAACATAATTTACAAATTCTAAAATTTTGTCTTTAAAAGTTTTCCAGTTTTGAACTTTGGGAAAAAGATACATAATTCAATTAAAAGAGAAAGTACAATTAAATTGCTGAGGTTTTAGCTATAGAATGCTAAAGATAAAAAAAATTATGTTTTTTAATTGTCATAGGTTTCTAATAAAACAAAATATGATTAAAGTCTGAAAAAAGAGTCAACATTTTTTCTCTTTTAACTAAAGCACTTGATTACATAGAGTGGCAGAAGTTACCTAATATTATAAAGAGAACCCATAAACATGAAGTTTTAGTGATTTATGGTTAAAAAAATATACTGACCACTTCTTTACCATGAGACAACCAAATCCTTTTTAAACAATGGTTGTCAGGTAATACCTCATTGTTGCACATGACAAGCACCTAGAAAGAAACAAAAAAGAAAATGGAGAGGCTGATTTTAAGTGTTTAAAATAAAATGTTGCAAAACATTTTTGTATTATAGGTTTTGCTTCATTTGTTCAGAAAATTGAAAATAATTAAATGGCATTTCTAATATTTCACTACATTTCTGCTACAAGCATCTCTTAATATAAACTCAGTAAGAATTAAAATATATTTACAGTGATTCACTTATTTAATTAAGCCAAGTCCCTAGTGAAACCGTCGGGTGACTTACTGTCCATCTATTCATTTAAGCTCAACTCAGATTAAGGTTTAAACAACTGTTTTATTTAAGTTTTAAACTTAACTGATGCATGGTTCATGCTTATATAGAACAATCTCTGCTGCTTGCAGGACTTAACATAAAATTAAGATGATCAGATTTCAAGGTTTGAAATTCGGAACAATATATATATATATATTTTTTAAATAATTTTTTTTCAAATAAATTATTTTATTATTAATGTTATTGTGGTGGAGATGTTATTTAGGTGAACAATTGGTTTTAAATTTTTTCTTTATGTGTGTATGTATATAATATATATATAAAATTAAATTTTTATTATAATTTTTAATTCCAAATTATTAGCCTATTTATAATTTCTTTATATATATATATATATATATCAAAATATTTATATTTTTGTTTTATTTTTTAATAGTGATATATATTATTTTATAAACAAAGAATAAATCAAAAAAGCAGTATTCAATTTTAAAACAAAAATATAAAATTTGTAACTATTCTAGATTATTTTGATGAAGTAGCCTTAAATTTCTCTGAAGCATGGATATTTCTTAAAACATCTTTTCCTTTTTTCATCTTCATATAAAAGTCGATGCAATTTTCATAAAAAAAACCTGATGAAACCTATTTGGTGATCAACATACCTTTCAAAGTGTCCACTTTAAGCTGTGTCTTATCACTAGTCCTTTCATGGTTTTCCCCATGTGTAACGTGTATACGAGCCAATTTCCCTTAGAAAATCCTCCACAAAGGCATTCCTCCCCTTAGGCAGATAGCCATTGAGGCTTTGCCGTAATGTCATAAAAAAACAAACTTATCACTAGTTCAAAAACTGTTCATAATGCACTGGCTCAATTGCAATATTAGGGCAATGAAGACAATTTTAAAATATTTGAACAAGGAATCTGGTTTTTATTAAAATATGCAGTTATTTCCACCCACCTCTGAACTGGTAACATCTTGTTTTTTTACCATTCCAATATTTTTCTTCTGTAATACATTGTTTAAGGTATATTCCTCACATATATCGAATTTCCAATAATTTATGATTTCGTATTATTATTTTATTAATAAACAAGAAGGCTGTTTCAACTTTACTCCAAGGAGGAATTTCATTTAATATGATCCAGCTGTACATTTTCATCTCCTGAAATACTTTTTTTTTGTCCATTTCTCCAAATAAGTAAGAGCAGTCTGATAAAATAAACAATAGCTTCTCAAAATTCACTAACTTTGCATTGTGACACATCTCAGTTCTTTTCAAGTTTCTCAAGAGCTTTTTTTTAAAAATATATTTATTGGAATAAAGTTATCCTCTGTCTTAATATATATTGATGCTTTCAGATCATCTCTTGAACCTATTACATCAAATACAGATGCAGTTCAATTTTTGGTCATTGCAATAAATTTATGAAATATTGAAACCTGAGTGTTAATAAAAATAGCCAAGATTCTGCCACTGTATTTTGAACGAATTTTAAACAATTTTAAAATAAGCATGGAATGCTTTTCTCAAGATTTAAAATAAGACTTCAGTGACAAAAACATTTGGAGTACCTTTTCAATGGCAGGAAGTAATGCTAACTAACTTGTTTGTGAATCTAATATCATGGAACATTCAGTTTCTATGAAGTTTCAGATATTTTTCAATATTTCTACTGTAGAGTTAAAGTACATCTTAGAAATAATCATTTCTATATCAACTGGCAAAACATCTGCTTATGTTCTTAGAGTATTATGAATAATATGCGTTGTACATTCAACTTCAATTAAACCGTGGTTTAATTTAAATTCATTAACAAAATTAACCATGGTTTAATTTAAATTCATTAACAAAAACATTATTTTCTCCACGTCTATCAGCTCCTCCAAAGTTAAAATTTGTATTATTGGCACAAAGGCCAATAACTTTTTCTTTAAAATTATTTTTTCAAGAACAAGTAGTTAAATGTTGCTAATAATACTGGATGTTTCACCAGATAAAGATTTAAACTTTTTACTCTAACTCCATAACTCCAATGTATAAATCTAATAAGTATTGGATAAAGTTTTATTTCCTCATGACTAGATGCATCGGTTAAGATTGAAACAAATGAACATATTTCCAGTGAAAGTTCTTCAAGCGTAAGGCATGAAAACATTTAGCATTATTGATTCAGCCTTGGTTCATGCATATGTAAATTTAAGCTCAAATACCACTTGAAGCAGCTTGGATGGACAAACCATAGACCTAAAGCTATGATTGTGGCAAACAGTATGGTATGCCAGAAGTACCAAAGTACCATCTAGCCAAACCTTCTTCTTTATCACCCATTTTCTCCTGTTTGAAGAAATTCTTTAATGACGAGCTAGATGAAGGAGCAGAGTTAAAATTTTATGTTTATTACTACATACATGAAGTTTAATATCTGTACATCTACCATGACTTATAGAAAGTTTTGAAGACCGTGTATTGCACTGTACATCAAAATCACTTATAGTTCTTTCAATAAACAAGTATTCCCTCTATAGGACTTTGTTAAGTGTACACTTACTTTTTCTTGAACCCAATACTAAAATGGTAAAAATATATAATAAATTAAACTGCAATAAAACATACCACTAGCACGTTTGTAATGCACTGTTGATAAATAAAAAATATATGTCATTGCCAAACGGAAAACATCATTACATGTCATCCTTTTGGAAAATTTTTAAAAATTTTGTTTAACCCTTATGCAAAATCAAAATGATGATGAAGTAAAAATTTTACATTTTAAACATGACAAAAGAAAGATAACTTTTGATGGATATACCTACAGTGAAATTTCTGCAGATGACAAAAGATTTATTTTTAGATGCCATGTAATAATGTGTGATACATAGTAATGCATGTAATCCACCATTGATAGTTAAAAGATAGATGTATCTCTACACATAATAAAAGGAAGAGTCTGTCTGTGTGTGTTTCTTTTGTACGTGCTGCGCGTAAGCTAGCAGACCTAGGGCTACGACATTTGATACATAGGTGCATCTAGACAAGAGCCAGTGCACCTCGAAGTGATTTTTTCAAAATTCGAATAAGACTTTTTTATTTTATATTTTTTGATGAAATCACATCAAATCCATAATTCTTTCTCATTATATCAGCAAAAATGCCATGCAGCTATTGTTGCTGACATCAACATTGACAACAATGGCATGCAGCCATTGTTGCTGACATCAGCGCTGTTGCCACTTGGAAAAATGAGGGTGATAATTCTGTGCAGGTTTTAAATTTAATGTTTCTCTTGGATACTGGATGTTTATTGAGAGAAGGCAATGGAAAGCCTGTTAATTTATTTATTAGGATAATTAATATTTGTATTTAGGGACATTGCTTATTTCATTGTTATTGTTTTTATATCGAATACATTTTTATTGAATTTATATATATATATAAAGTTATTTGGCAGAGTAAAATTCTGTGCAGTTTTTAAATTTAATGTTTGGTGTTCCCTTTAGGCATTTTTTCAGTACATTTAAAAGTCAGATGAAGGCTGGCTGTGCAGCGACTAGTACAGTCAAAAGTCGTTAATTCTGACACCCATAATAATAATGTGTGTGATACATAGTATGTAATCCACCATTGATAGTTAAAAGATATATGTACCTCTACATATAATAAAAGGAAGAGTCTGTCTGTGTGTGTTTCTTTTGTACGTTTGTTGGACCTCAAAAGCTACAAACTTTCTGTGAACGGCTGCACATATGCGTGTGCGCATGTGCATAATACGTTTATGCATGCGCGTTTAATGTATAACGGACGATATAAGCTAAAATTATCTAATTATCTATTTCAGTTAATGTTGCAGATTGCGTTGTTCTTTAATCTTCGAATTGGATCCGGCTTATTTTTTGCAGACTGTTAGAGCAATTTTATAAAAGTAAGCTTGAACTTTCGATTATGTCAAATAGAATTTCCGATGCTGGAGAGCTCCCAAAGGATCTACAAAGCGAAAGTATGTTTCGATGTCCATCAAACAAAAAGTGGAATTGCTGCAAAAAATGGATAAAGGCATATCCTTTGTTTCTCTAACCATTCTGAAATCTGTTTATCAATTTCATGCTGCTTTGCTTGGGGGGGGGGGGAACGCTGTCGCGCACAATGAATTGGAAGTTGATCTGTTGGCACTATCCTTATCTTCAGGGCAGATGTTTTTATTTTATTTGGCTTATAATTCCTTACTAAATGTAGTATTTCATTTCGATGTACTCCGTCCTTGATATAATTTAAATCAAATTCCTCATCATTATAATTCGCTTCCAATAGTGAAGAAAGTGACACAGAGGTTATTGAAAACGAAAAAATTTCGTTTGACAAATTAGTCAGTATTCTCGACACAGCAATTATAGGACTTGAACAGCGGAACTTTGTAACCGAACCTGAAATTATGTCTGTTTATAGAATTAAAGAGAAAGTATTATCACATAAAATGAAGCAACTTAAAAAACTTACATTGAAAGAAATGTTTAATAAAGTAAACAAATAAATTTTAAGCTTTTTTTTTTTTTTTGTAAATTTTGATACCCTTTAGATCATAATTGTTCTTTATTTCATAGATTACAGTTTGATATTTTTAATTTTATAATTTCTGCATGTCATCTTACCAGATTTAAACTGATGATCTATAATGCGGAAAAATCGATAATCCGGAATTGCCGAAGTCCCGATAGTCCGGATTAACGACTTTTGACTGTATATTATAAATTC